TAGGTTGATATCTTTGCTATTGTGAATAGTATTGCAATAAACACATGAGTACAGATATCTTTTTGATACAATAATATCTTTTCCTTTGAGTAGACACCCAGTAGCAGAATTGCAGGATCTAATGGTAGTTCTATTTGCAGTTCTTTGAGAAATCTCCATACTGTTTTCCATAGAGGTTGTACTAATTTACGTTTCCACTAACAGTGTATAAGCATTGCTTTTTCTGTGCATCCTCATCAACATCTGTTGTTTTTTGACTTGAATAATAATAATTCTGACTGGCATAAGATGCTATCTCATCATGGTTTTAGTTTGCACTACTCTGAGCATTAGTGATGTTGAAAGTTTTTTTATATGCTTATTGTCCATTTGTATGTCTTCTTTTGAAAATGGCTACTTATGTCCTTTTTCCACTTTTTTAATGTGGTTATTTATATTTTGTTTTTGTTAAGTTGGAGTTCCTTGTTAATTCTGAATTTTTTAAAAAAATGTTCTTTTTATTTCAATGGCTTTTGGGATACAAGTGGTTTTTGGTTACATGGATGAATTGACAGTGGTGATGTCTAAGATTTTAGTGTATCCATCATAGGAATAGTGTACATTGTACCCAATATGTGGTTTTTTATCCCTTGCCCCTCCTCCCATTTTCCCCCCTCTGAGTCTCTGCAGTTCATTATATCACTCTGTATGCCTTTGTATACCCATAGCTTAGCTCCCACTTATAAGTGAAAACATATGGCATTTGGTGGCAAACATATGAAAAAATGCTCCACATCACTAATTATCAGGGAAATGCATATCATAACCACAATGTGATACCACCTTACTCCTACAAGAATGGCCATAATTAAAAAACAAAATAATAATAGATGTTGGCGTGGGTGTGGTGAAAAGGGAACATCTTTACACTGTTGGTGGGAATGTAAACTAGTACAACCACTATGGAAGACAGTGTGGAGATTCCTTAAAGAACTAGAAGTAGAAATACCATTTGATCCAGCAATCCCACTACTGGGTATCTACCCAAAGGAAAAGAAGTCATTATATGGAAAAGACATTTATAGCAGCACAATTTGCAACTGCAGAAATATGGAACCAGCCTAAGTCCCCATCAAACAATAAGTAGATAATGAAAATGTGGTTATATATATATTATGGAATACTACTCAGCCATAAAAACAAACAAAATAATGCCATTCGCAGTAACCTGGATTCATTTGCTACAGTTTCACTGCTTTTATAGCGCATTTCATGCCGGAATTGGTTTGAGCTTCCAGGATTGGCCAATCATAGTTGCTTGTAAACTAGGCTTCTGGTTTCCTTGCCTGAGTACTGGAAACAATTTTGGAGGTCAGTAGCTCTGGGCCTATGAGAGTAAACCAGGTGAACAAAGCCCTTCAATTTTTTATTAACCCCAAACCAGTTCCCATTACCAAAACATATTGCCTTCTGAATTTCTCAATGGAACTTACATATTTTCTAATTCTACTGGGTTTCACTCTAAATATAATCCCATTTTATTAATATCATCGTATCCTTTACTCCTAATGCCAACCTTTCTGACTCTGTGGTGACACTGGAAAGTTGCCTATATTCATATACTTTTTCTAACATCTTAATGGAATTTGAGAAGTAGGAATTTGCAAAATGAGCAATCATCTCTCTTAAATTTCATTTGATTAGGCTGGCATTTCCTGCAGTATTTGTACTACTTTACATTTGTGTATTATTCTTTTATGTATAGATATTTTGGATTTATTAAAGCATGTTCAACTTTAAGTGGAATGCTAGGAGGACTAATTGCTTCCACTTTGACTGGATTGATCCTTAGGCAGGTAAGAAACATACAGACATGTAGTTACTTTTCCAATATTAATTGTATAGAGAAAGATTATGCACAGGAAAGATTGCAAAGAAGATGCCAGAAGGAGATGACTTATGAGTTTTTGCATCATATGAAAATAAACTTGGTCAAATCAGGCATCTCTCCAAATCTACAAATAATACAATTTCTATCTCATTATTTGTCAATTAGATACGTAGAGAACTCTTTAGTAATTGGCCATTGGTACAGAAGTGGACTTCTGTTATTTTTAATAATGAATATGTGGATTGATCAGCACAGGTATTTGACTGGCTGAGTGGTAATATAAGTAACAAGATACAGTTTTCTCAAAGAAAGAATGAAAAATCACAAGTAAATACAGTTAAAGATTGACCAAAGTTTGACTATGAAGGCAGACTTCTGTTTTTGCAAGTGTCATGGACAAAGTTAGCTGAAATTTTCCTGTTAAGGACACTTAAAATGCCCTATCAAATTGTAACAGTTATTTTAAATGCATGCCTCATCTGCAAAAAAAGTAAAGCAAAAGAACACTTCAGAGATTAAAAATGAAAGAATAGTTTGATTCCAGAGAGGTAAATGACCACTGAAGCCACTGGCTGCCTTGGGTCTTTGCCTATCCTGGGTAATCTATGTCTTCAGTTATAATGAACAAGCAGAAGATAAGAGATAATATCCTAAAGCCACTCAAATAAGAAGAGTCAGAATGGAGATGCTGGCATAAATCTGTACTCACAAAGGACTACACCTTCCTACCACTAGCACCATGTGGATCACATATAAACTTTATTTGGAGGAACGCTTTCAACAAAAGGAATAGTAGTGTGTAGATAATTCCTCCAAATGCTCCTTATCCCAAAGTTGAGACAGGGAGAGATGGTCTGCATCCACCATGGCCACATTTCCCATAAAGAAGAATCTTCCACCACCACAATGTCTCTATTTATGGTATTAGAAAAGAAGAAAACATCACTAGAACCATAGAAACTCCCTGGTCAGAGAAGTGGCCTCATTAGAAATGGGGAGCACCAAGTGGCCATGGTCTGTTTCCTCCCTCTGAGCATAGTGCCTTTATTCTTCCATTGAGTTCACTCAGGTGTGCAGAGCTGACTTCCAAAAGTTGTTAGTGGAGCTAATTTCTCTGCAAACATCCAAGATGTGGAAGGAAATGTGACTCTAGAACTGTTCAAAGTTGTCTCTGCCTAGTAAGTTAACTTAGACAGTTCTCATCTGCCCCTGCCTCAGCTTTAAAAGGAGAGAAAAACTGAATACTCTTCTAAGCATTTGAAATTTGAGCAAATCAAATATTTGGTGACCAGAAGGCAAGACTGGGAAGTCAATTATTGCAGCTGCAATAACTTTTCTGGTTCTCTTCTTGGGCATTTCCCCACTTCTTTGAAGTTAGATGTATTCTTGTAAGTTATTTTGGCCAATGAAATATGAGAGGAAGTGATACATGTGAATTCTGAGAAGAAGCATTAGAAACCAAGAGGCCATTCTTTCCCTTTGATGCAACAACTAGTATTACTCAGAAGGATGACTGCAAGGCTACTAACCAGGATCCAGAAATCCAGGTGATATGGAGCATAACTCCTAGCCAACCCATTATGTACCTTTTGTGTAAACAAAAAACCAAATTTCTGTCATTAAAAGCCATTAAGACTTGAGGGTATTGGTTACTATACTATAACCTACTCTATTCTTGACCTGTCAGGATCTATCCAGAATGAATCCCAGGAAGAAAAAATGGTAAAAATACAGAATATATGGCATGAGATGGGGTAATCCAGTCAGAAAACCCAACATACAACTAACTGGAGTCCCAGAAGATGAAGAGAGAAAATAGGGCAGAGGCTATGTATGAAGAGAAAATGATTGTTTTCTAGTTTTCCAGAAATACAGAAATTCACATCTTTAAGAAGCCTAATAATCACAAGTAGGATAAAAAGAAACCAGAAATTGCAGAAAAGCAAAGACGAAAAGAATGTCATACAAGCAATCAGAGGAATCAGAAAGATTGCCTCCAAATGAGCAACAGATAGACTGGTCTCTGACTTCTCAAACTCAAGAAAGGAAGACAGAACACAATAAAATTACATCTTCGGTCTGCTTAGTGAAAATAACTACCAACTTAAATTTGTAAACAGTGAAAATATTTGCCAAAAGAAAGACAACATGTTTCAAGCCAACAAAAACAGGGAATTCAATTCACTAATGGACGTTTAAGTGTTTTTAGGTTTAAAGAAAGAAAATTAGAGATGCAGGAAAAAAATGAAGATCAGCAAAAGTGGTAAATAAGCGGACAAATCCACTTACTCACCTATTTGTTTTATTGGGTAAACAAAAGTAATGCCCTGTGGAGTTTAAAAAACACTATATACAAAGTATAAAATAAGCAATAATAAGAGTAAATAAGTCAAGAGAAGATAAATGGAGCAAAGTATTTGAAAGACTTCATGCTGTCTTACCAGAGGATAAAAGTACTAAGAGTTTGATACATGAAGAAAACGTGTTGTAATTTCTAATCTAATAATTAAAAAAATAGAAAAAGTACATCAATTTCAAAGTAATAAAGACAAAAATGAAATGATAAAAATACCTTATCTAAAAGAAGGCAAAAAAAGGAGAGAAAAAGCAACATAGAACAAGAGGTGCAAATATAAAACAATCAAAATAATTTGGTAAACTAGACGTGCCAGCAGCTACTTTAAATAAGCTAAAAGCGCTACCTAAAAGCAAAAGGCGGCCATATTGGATTAAGAAATGAAGCTTAACTCTGTGCTGCTTTCATACAAATATATAATAAAATAAAAAGCAACAGAAAAGTTGAAATTAACAGAGAAAACATTCTACGCAATTTTTAGCTAAAAAGCTGCGGAGGCTATGTTGATCTCAGAGGACACCTTAAGGCAAAAAGTATTACTAGAAATGACGACAATCACTTCATAAAGATATATGATTCAATTCACTGAGAAATATGTATACACCTATTTCTATGTGTATGTATATATACATACATATATATGTATATTTGCTGTGGGAATTTTGTGTGTATAAATATGTATACACACAAACACACATATATATACACACACATATATACACATACACACACACACAACAGGGAACATTTCTCTCTCAGATTGGAGTATGAAAAAAATGCCTGCTGTCACTATTTATTAATACTAAACTTTTTACTATGTCCTAATGAATGAAATAAGACACAGAAATATGAAAAAAAGAAGAAATATCATTAACATTTTTATAGGTGGCATTCAAAAAAAATCAGAAGACTAACACTACTTATAAGTTATTAGAATTAATAACTAAGTTTTGGAATTTATAGAGTAAATCTATAAATATACATTATTTTCTAAATACCTGAATAAAGAGTGTGAAAATAAAAATTTTAAAAAGGATACTATTTTCAACACCATAATAAAAATCGTATATCTAAGAACAAATTTAATGAATTACTCATATGATCTCCACAAAGAAAACCATAAGAGAGAGACTTGAAAGAAATTTTTTAAAAACTAAGCAAATGGAGGGAGATGCCATTTTTATATACTAAAAGACTCAAAATTATAAAATATCTTCTCATTCCCCTGAATGAGCTGTAGATTCAATGAAATCCCAATCAAAGCCCTAAGTTACTTTGTGGAAACTGAAAAGACTTTTACATAATTGACATGTGTTCACAAAGGGCCAAGAATAACTAAGAGAATCTTGAAGAAGACAAACTGGAATATTTGTTCTACCTAATATTAAGATACATTACAAAGCTATGAAAATAAATACCTTATGGTATTGGCACAAGTAGACCAATAGAACTGAAGAAAGAGTGTAGAAAGATCCCACATATATGGACATTTAATTTATGACAGAACAGTGTCACCTTTGTCATAAAGAAAGGGCTTATAAAATGGTACTGGGCTAAAATAATATCATTATGAAGAAAAATAAAATTTAACTTATCTCAACATACAAAAATATGAAGTAGAGGTGGATTGCACATCTCAAAATTGAAGGCAAAATATAAAGTTTCTAGAATATAATTCAGAGGAATATTTTCATGATCTGATAGAATTATTTCTTAAAAAGGGCACTAAAAGTACTAACATAAAGAACAAGACAATAAATTTGACTGCATTAAAATTAAGAACTTCTGTTCCTCAAAATATACCAACAATAGAATAAGTAACCATCAAGTTTGAAAAGATATTTGCAACACATACAACTAACCAAGGGCTTTTAATAAAAATACATAGTTACTACAAATCAATAAGAAAATGAGAAAAAAAAAGATGTAGGCACTTTACAAGGTGAAATCCAAATAGCTAATAAATATAGTAAAAGACAAATTAAAAACCACAACTTGCTCACACTACACGCCCACGAGATTGGTGGTCTATAATACCAAGGGTAAGTAATGATGTGCTGAAAAGCAAAATTAATAACAAATGCTGGAATTGTAAATTAGTACAACACTTCTGAGCACAGATATTACCTAGTAAAGCTTAGGTTATGCAATCTTTATGATTCAGTAATTTCACCCCAAGATAAATGAATCTATACACATTGAGAAACATATACAAAAAAAAAAAAAAGTTTATACTATGAGGTTGCCAGATTTTGAAAAAAAAAGAAAAAACCCAAGAAGATGAAGACTGCCCAGTTAGATCTGACTTTCAGATAAACAAGAAATAATACAGGACTTTGCTTCATTACCAAAACGCATGGGACATATTTGTACTACCAAGTTACTCATTGTTTATCTGAAATTCAAATTTAATCAAACATCTTATTTTTCTCACAATCCTCTCATAGCAGCATTGTTTAAAATAGTCCCAAAGTTCTTCAAAAATGATGAGAACAGGCCAGGTGCGGTGGCTCACACCTGTAATCCCAGCACTTCGGGAGGCTGAGGCGGGTGGATCATCTAAGGTCAGGAGTTTGAGACCAGCCTGGACAACATGGTGAAACCCCATCTCTACTAAAAATACAAAAAATTAGCCAGACCTGGTGGCACATGCCTGTAATCCCAGCTACCTGGGAGGCTGAGGCAGGAGAATTGCTTGAACCCGGGAGGCAGAGGTTGCAGTGAGCTGAGATTGAGCCACTGCACTCCAGCCTGGGCTACAGAGTGAGATTCTGTCTCAAATAAATTAAATTAAATTTAATTTAATTTAATTTAATTTAAATTTAAATAAATAAAAATAGTCCCATTGAGGCACAGTCAAAAATTGGCAGCAACACAGGATGCAAGAGGACAATGGCATAAGAAAACTATTTTTAAGGATACAAGACCATACAATGCCTCACCCTTTAGGGGAAATAAATAAACTATTTAGAGAATTAAAAAAAAAAAAAAACAGGAGATGTAATCAGAAAATGAGTGGAAAATAATAGTATCAATTATCTTGATTATATTTTCGTTATCTTAAAATTAAGGATAAAAGAAAAGAAAAAAAAAAAAAGAAAGACTATCCATAATAATCAATAATAAAAAGTTTTTAAGAAATGCCAAAACAGGGCCAGGTGCAGTGGGTAATGCCTGTAA